TAGATTCCTCTGAAAGAAGTGAGGCTCGTTTGGAAATGTGTGACTACAACAACTGTAGCTTCACAGGACATCATCCTCGGGCTTGAAGCCATGGAAAGAGGCCGGTGGTTTAGTAAGTAGAAACATATGAAATTGCTTATTCCCCTATTTTATTTTATTTTATTTTATTTTATTTATTTTAACCTACAACCACTTCCCCCCCTCCCCCAACACGAATATAATTTTCTCCGTAAAGAAGCAATCTAGCCAGGACCGGTTTGGCTCAGTGGTAGAGCGTCGGTCTGCGGACTGAAAGGTCCCGGGTTTGATTCCGGTCAAGGGCAAGTACCGTGGTTGCGGGCACATCCCCAGTAGGGGGTGTGCAAGAGGCAGCTAATCGCTGATTCTCTCTCATCGATGTTTCTAACTCTCTATCCCTCTCTCCTCCTCTCTGTGAAAAATCAATAAAATATATTTTTTAAAAAAAAGAAGAAGAAATCTAGCAAGGTGAGACTTAGCACTGGACCTGGGCTCCAGGACTACACACTTTAAAGTTAGAAGGGCTTCGTGCTTCAGATGGGGCGGCACTGTCCACAGCTCAAGGCTGAGCTGAGGCCCACGGCAGGAAGCGAATTCTGCAACCTCACAGGCTTAGGATATGGGCAGCTCAGGCCTCCGCATTCCTGCAGTTCCTGCGGCCTCCCTCACTCTCCATCACAACCACACAGGCTGTCCTCACCTCTGACCCAGGGTGCAGTCTCTGAAAGGCCTCAGGAAAAGCACGGCCCTCCCGAAACTCAGCACCTGCTTCTTCCCCGAATCCTTCAAGAGGCAATGGATGTATAACCCATAGACTCGGCCTGGGGCGGGAGGATGGGAAGGGGGGCGCACCAGGGTGGGCCCGGGGTGAAGGAAGTCAATGGGGAAAAAAAGGGACACCTGCAATATTTTCGGCAATAAAGACAATTTTTTTTTTTTTAAAATTGGCAATGGAGTGTTTCTGACCTGCCTGAGGATGCTACACACCTGAGTCAAAAGCATAGGCTTAATGAGAGGAAAAGGGCCCGTTCTGGGCTCTGAGGGGCCTGCCAGAAGTGATCCATTCACAGCCATCCCGTCTTCGGTACCCACTGCTCTGTGCTTTAATAGCAAGCTTAGAGTTAGGGATGCTCAGGAGGCGTCTCCCTCCTTGTAGGGGAAGGGGGCGGGGGGGGGGGGCAATGTGTGGACTGTGGAGCAAGAGCGTTGACAGTAAGTCAGGCCTTGCCCAGCTGGCTGGCCTAGCTCAGTGGTTGAGCATCGACTTATGATCCAGGAGGTCACAGTTTGATTCCTAGTCAGGATACATGCCCAGATTTTGAGCTCAATCCTGTGTGTGTGCAGGAGACAGCTGATCAATGTTTCTCGCTCAGCACTGATGTTTCTATCTCTCTCCCCCTCCCCCTCCCTCTCGGAAAAAAAAAATTAAATAAAATAAAAATCAGGCCTCGCTGCCCTTGGGTGTCCCACCACGTCCCTGAGCAATCGTGGTCTGAGAGAAGAGGGCTGTGTGAGGAAGCGCATACCACGACACATGCCCCACAGGCCAGCTGACCCTGACCCAAAGATGCTTCCAGGATTTGGCCTGATTCCAATCTCTAAACAAGTTAAGGCTCTGGGAGTGTCTCCAAGAAATCAGAGACCCCACAGCATGTCATTCCGATGCTGGCCCCTGCCACTCCCTCCTCGGTGAGACACGAGTGGTGGGGATGATCCACCAGGCATGTTAAGTGGGGGGATTTGGAAGGAGGCTTGTAAACATCAGGTGCTACATAAATGCAGGAGAAGAGCACAGGCCTGACCCTGGGCCCTGTTAATCGCGCAAAGCCAGCTCCCGATCACTCCTCCTCCAGAAGACAGAGGAGGAGACAGCAGGCGAGTCCCTAGAAGTAAAGGGTGAGAACCACACTGCCAACCTCAGCAGTCCGTCCTCACTGACCTGCCGATACTTGTGCTCACTGCCCTTGGGAGGGAAGCAGGCGACGGCGGCCTTTGCAGGGAGGAAATCTGAGAGCGAAGAGACAAGCCCGAGGTCAGCCGGCAGCAGCAGAGTGAGGAACACAGCCAACTTGTTCAGGTCTCAGTGCCTGGCGCCCGACTCAGAAATCCAATCAGCCAGCTTTTTCATTCCTCATCAAGCCTTCCCCCTTCTGTACCAGCAAGGCCATCAAAGGTAGAAGGAAAGTGATGCAATTCTGTGCTAGGTCAGGACGAAAGGTTAGCATTATTCCGAGTCATGCAAATATAAGATAGCACCACCATCGTCGTCATCATCATAACTACCCGACCCTCAGGATACTAAAAGATGGGACGTTAAGAGCATTCACCAACGTCTCTTAGAAGTAACATGAGGACATCCAGGACATCTACTCAGCCCTGGCAGTGGCCTGGATGCCCAAGGAGGTACATGAAGGATAATCTCTGTTCAGCATCAGTGGAAGGAGCCAACGGATCTGAGGATAAGGAGCAGAGAGCAGGGTCTGTTTCCTATCAGCGTCTTCCATGTAGGAGCACCAGCCAAGAGTGAGGTTAAGTCTCTGAGGAGAGAGGAAAGGGGAAAGGGAGGCCCCCTGGTCCCCAGGTTCAAGACCTGAACTTGACCATGACCACCAAGGTCAGGGAACCTGAGTGGACAGAAAGTACCTCACACCTGCTACCCTATAGGATCCTTATCCCAGGGACCCATCAGAGAGAGATGGGAACTCCTTCATCAACATGGAAACTCACGGGAGCCTTTTTCAGAATAACCCTGCTTCTGCTTTTGGCAGTTACAGTTCTTCCCTCAGCAGAGACCCAGCCTTCTGGCTCCCTCCTAGATGGAGGAGTAAGAACAGCATTCAACTGCCACTCAAGGGACGTGACCGCCATTCGGTTTATGCTATGCTGGTTACACTTCCAAGAAAGATGGCTACCACCTAACAACATGGCAAAAGTAGAACATGATGGAAGGGAACATCCCTGCCTCACACCACAGAGCACCGTCCAGAGTCAGCACGGTTTGGATCACGCTACAGGCCGCACCCCACATCCCCCAGAGAGCCATTTAGTGGCTTACAGATGTGTTAGTAGCTGAGACTGGAGCTATGCAGAGTCCAGGTAGGGGAACAGAAGAGACCCCTCACCAGGAATGAAGAGGGGTCCTGGCTGGAACTGCTGACGACTCACAGTTGATCCCTCCTAGCTAAGGAGTGAGGAATCGGGGCAAAAATAATCTCCTTCACGTAGGCTTCACCGAACAAAGACAAGGAGAGGATGAGATGCAATAGCAAATCCTGGGCCACAAAACCAATAGTGCCTTCCCAGCCAAGACTAGGTGGGGCCCTTGAACCAAAGGGCTAGAGGGCTCATAAAACAAGGAACCATTGGAAAGCCAAGGTTGCCCCTTTTGCCATCCCCATGGCAGGGTGTCTGTCACAGGTGCAGAGAGAGCAGTGACCATATTTATCACTCACACCTGCTTCATCACCACTGACATTCAGGCCGCAAGAGCAAGAGGCCTGCAGACTGGCCACCTGCATCTCCAGAGCAACGTTCCAGGGTAAAAGGCGGTGGGGCGACATACAGAGTCCTGAGGGGGGAGGTGCAGGACCTAACGACTCTACCCCCCATCAAGCCATTATCCCCACTGTTCCCACGGACACAGGAGGCCTCACAGGGAATGGAGCAGTGAAGACACACAAGAGAAACTTCCAGAAGAAGCTCAACATTCAAGTCAAGGAATCAAATTCCAGAAATGTCAGGGTTGGCCACTGTTGTCCTTCCTACCTGGCTCCAGAGTCCAGCATTGAGGCCATCTGTGCACAGAGACAAGAGGCCTTGGCCAGTGGCCAGTGCCCGGCGCCTGGAGGTTGCTGTACCCGGGTGGCTCACTACGCACCTACAGTCATCGCCGCCGCACTACCTCCAGCCACGGGAGGTCCTGCCACGGGCTCTGTTTTACTTCACGGGCATTTCAGAGTGGATGGCCTGGCTGAGAAGGGACACCCTTGCCCAGTTCCAACCCCTGGTGTCGAGGACCCTCCACCCCAACGCCATATGCTATTCTGGTGCAATGCAGAGATATCTACTAACCAAACACAGAACCCAAAGTCCATTACTTCCAGGGACTGGAGGAACACTCACGGGAAGGGAATGACACATAAAGATCAGACAACAAAAGGGACAAAAGGAGGAACTATGACTCTGGCATCCCAAGAAATTAATCACGGGATGAGCTTATGTTTGTATCAGAACCGGGCCTGACCATAGGTGGATCCCAGGGAGGAGATGCGTGCCAAAAGGAATAAGGACAGACAGACTCCGTTACCCTCTGTACTGCAGCTGAACTGTATTTTCCCTAACACCCTCCCCACCGCCCCCAGTTCTCACTGAGGCAGCTCTCCTAACCAAGGGCAGGCTCAAATAAATAGGTGGGCACCTGGAAGTGCAGGGAGGTAGAGCTGGGTCCATCATCCCCCAGCTGGCATGAAAGGGCTTAGGACTCAGAAACGCTCACATCAAACAAGATTCTGATTCCTGGGTGTTGGGGGAAGAGTGTGGAAGGGGAATAAAATCAATCACAGAACGTCCAATACTGATGCTTGGGAAGGCTGAACTCGGGGCTAACAGAGGGCCCCAGACAGGCTCTGGACATACGCAGGGGGCTGAGGAGAGGAAGCAGCAGACAGATTTGGCTGAGTGACGCCACAGGGTCACCCTAAAGGCGAGGAAGACTTTGGAGGGTGAGGGACATGCACGCACCCCCTCCTCCTCTACAACCAGAGCTGATAGCCACAGCCCCTCCAGTGGACACGGGTAAAAGGCCCTGCAGGGCCACAGACCCTCTGAAGTGGCTCTGCTCCCACCCCTTCCGTCTTCAAAGTGCATTATCAGTGCAAGAAGTGGGACTGGATCTTAGGGGTCCAACTCTGAGAAAGGGCTGTGCCAGCCAGCTCCCCCATCGCCTCCTGCGCCCCCCTTGCCCACCCCTGAGCCTCTTCATGCTAAGACCAGAACTCTTGCTGGATCTCATAAGGGGCAGGCCTGTGAGCGCTCAGTTCAGCTCTACACAGTGGCACAGTGCTGTCCTGACTCTGGCCCTCTGCGTCCAGGTCCAAAAGCGTCCGCTCGGCGGGGGGCAGCGGCCCCGCCTGGAACGGGAGCAGGGCGGGGAGCCCAGGCCGCTCCTCCAAAGTGCTGCTGCTGCTAGCAAGGCAGGAGTCCAAGTTGCTGGGTGTCTCTGTGCTGGAGCTGTTGGCCGGGGAGGCGCTACGGGCGTGGCTGGGGGACACAAACCACCAGGGGTCCAGCCGCTGCCGGTTGGCAGAAGGACGTGGCCGAGGCAGGAACTCCAGGGTCTTGGGTCTCTCCAACGTAGAGTCCTGCTGTGTGTTCCAGCGCCTCGGGGTTGGGGGAAAAACTACATTGGGGTCAGGGAGACGGGGGAATTCACCTGGGTCTCGGCTGGGGCTGGGGGTTTTCAACATTCCTGGTCAAAAAGACAAAAGGAGAGGCATCAGATGAGAGTCCCTTGTGTCTGGGCCAGGTGTACTCTGCTCCATCCCCACCTTGCCAAGGCCCTACTCACTTGGGATAACACAAACAACAAGTATTTAATGAGCACCTACTATGTGTCTTGCAGTGTTTTGGGAGGTACTGGGAAATACAATAGTGAACTAGAAGGCCAGGGCCACTATATCTGACAACAATAATGGGACATATGGGGGTTGTCCTATTTAATAAAGAGGTAATATGCAAATTAACTCTCATGCCCTCACAAGATGGCTACCTTCAACCAGGCTGGCAGGGGGATGAGGGATAACCAAATGACTGAACAGCGTGGGGTGACCAGGTCAGCGGGTGGGGGGGTTGTTGGGGGCAACCAGGGCAGCTGGGGGTGGGGGCAGTTAGGGGCAACCAGGCCAGCAGGGGGGGGGGGGGCAATCAGGCCACCAGGATCAGGCCTAAACCGGCAGTCGGACATCCCCTGAGGGGTCCTGGATTGGAGAGAGTGCAGGCTGGGTTGAGGGGAACCCCCCTCCCCGTGCACAAATTTTGTGCACTGGGTCTCTAGTATCGTATATAATAAAAGCCTAATATGTAAATTGACTGACTGGCAGAACAAGTGGTTGCTATGATGAACACTGACCACCAGGGGGCAAACGCTCAATGCAGGAGCTGCCCCCAGCCGCAGGCCCCAAGCCAGCCAAGGTAGGTGCCAGTGCCCCCCCTTCAACCGCCCTGTCAGTCACCTCCTTCTGCAGGAGGTGACCAGCGGTTGCAACAGTAGGGGGCAGGACTGGTGAGCAAGCAGCACCAGGTCAGCCAAGGTGGGTGCCAGAAGGGGCCCCCCCGATTGCCCTGCTGGTCATTCCACAGATTGGCTCTGATCGCTGGCCAGGCCTAGGGACCATACCTGTGCATGAATTTCACGCATTGGGCCTTTAGTATCTATAATAAAATGACTTAAGGCAGATGTTCTCAAACTACAACTCACAGGCCAGCCACCTGTGTTTGTAAATAAAGTTTTACTGGAGCAGAACCACACCAACTGCCTGCTTTCGCACTGCAGCAGTGGAGGTGAGCAGTTATAACAGAAACTGTATGACCCACCAAGCCTAAAATATTGACCATCTGGCCCTTTGCCAAAATTGTTTGCTGACCCATGACTTAAGGAAATGTCTGTATAAACGTGATGAGAACAGAGCTAGGTGTCAGAAATCTAAAGATGATTAATATAGGGAAAGGTCAGATATTTATGTTTAAAAAATCTAGAGAGAGGAGCGACAGCTGAGTGGTTGAATACAATGATCATTTACAGCAAATCCCTGTACTGCATCGTGTGACCTACGGGATTAGAGGTGGTTTCCAGTCAGACCCAGGTCTTCTAGGGAGGAAGGGCTAGTGATGGGAAAGACCCGGGAAGGGCGCAGGCATGCCCAGGTGTCAGGCCTATGTGCAAGCACAGCGATTCACCTGGACACACCTCCACTTCCGGAAAGTCAGCATGAGTAAGGGATGAGTGAGAAGGGTACGAGGCCTGGGCGGAAGCTATCCTTATGAGTGTGCCTGGACTCAGGCTATATAATGAGAGGTGAGAGCTCGGCTACGTGGCAAAAAACATCCTCGTTCAGGGCAGGTTCCTTCTGGTAACTGCAATCTCTTCCCGCAGGGAACAAGCAGAGCTAGACTCCTGCCCTCCTGTACCTGATGCTGGCCCTCTGCACCCAGGCCCAGAGCACTGCCCTGTGCTCTCCTAGGCCCAGGGCCCCAACATCCACAGGAGCCCAAGCCCCGGCTCCGGTGCTTCCTATAGAATCTGCCTGTCTTCCTTTGCTGCTCAGGGAAGACCCCCTGAGGCACAGGACAGATCAGCCATCTGGGTTGGCTAAGTCAGGGGAGGAATGGAGTTCACTCTAACACCCCTATTCCTGGGGGAGGCACAAAGGCAGGAAAGGGGATAGAAGAGGGGGCAGGACTCACCTGCTCCAGGGCTGGGGCTCAGCCCATTGCTGGAGGGGCTCCTGCTGGCCAGGAGAGCCGCTGGCTTGAGGGCCCCATCAGAAGGGGTTCGCCGGTGGCCGCTGGGCTGCGTGGGGGCTGTGAGGGTGACGTGGGTGGGAGTCAGAGACTGGTGAGGGTCCCGTTTGAAGCGCTCCACTCGGATGTTGACCAAGGGGTTGTGGGTGCAAGGGGTCGGGGGTGGGGCCTCCACCGGGCTGACAGGCATCTCGTACACCACAATCTCATCGCTGTCCGAACGCAGCAGGGAGCGTGTGGAGTTGCACTCGGAGATGGAGGAGAGAGACAGCAGTGTGAGGGAGGCAGAGGGGTCGCCTAGCAGCAGCATGGGCTCCTCCTTCTTGAAGAGCTTCCGGGATGGGGGGCTGGTGCTCCGTCGAGGACGACTGGCCCTCTGAAACAGTCCCTCGCGCCTCTTCTTCTCCTCCCGGGCTGGTGGCTCAGGCTCCTCTAGGAGAGGCAGCTGGCACTTGCCAGCTTCCAGCAGGTCAAACCCTAGGCCTGTGGCTGCGAGAACAGCCCCACAGCCAAGCAGAGCCACCTCGCAGCGGCGGTGGTGGGTGCCGCCCCGCTTGAGGCTGTTGGTTGGCGTCAGCTGAGGGGTACTGGTGGCTGAGTTGACTGGGGTGGGCTCCTCGTGGGCTCCGTCACTGGGGGGGCCATCCCCGTCCTCTCCACGAGGGAATGGGATACAGAGGTAGGACTGGTTGGGTGAATGCTGTAGACGGCTTTCCCCACTCCCTGGGCCCTCGCTGTCCTCATCCTCTGTGAAGTTGAGAGTAGACGGGAAATAGGAAATGGGAATGCAGCAGCAACAGTAAGAGGCTGGTCCTTCTCCCCAACCTAGGCCTCCTGGCTCAGTGTCAGGGATGCAGAGGTCAAACAGTCAGATGGGCGAGATGGGGGACTGAGCACTGAACCAACAGGGCTTTCCCCCTCCACACTCAACTGTGACCAGTGAGAAATCACTCTCCATTCCAGAGCTTGTTTCCTTACCTGCAGAGGCAGATTTGCTAATTTTCTACTTCTTTCCTAGGGACCCTCAACACAAGAAGAGCAGTGAGTTTTCTAGAACAATAGACAGAAACATCCCTAATTTTTTTTTTTTTTTTTTTTTTTTTTTTTTGCATTTTGGAATTGCAAGGGACCTTGGATTTCTAGAATGACAGCTTAAAGAGCTGTCTGAAGACTGGAGTCTTGCAAAAAGATTAGAATCCCCTACATGGGCAAAGGCCAACCTACTCAATAGACTGACCTAGTATGACTTTGGAAATCTACAGAGATAAATAAGAGGATGACTATCTGAGAGAGAGAGGCTGGAGAAGGCCTTCCTCATTCAGTGAGCTCCCTTAAGAGGAAGACTGCACGGCCTCTACAATCATCTCCTGTTTTATGGACCATCCTACACTGAAATATGAGGAAACAGACCCAGAAAAGGCAAATGCCTGACTTAAGGCCTCACCCTTCTGCACCGCCCTAAGTGGCCCCTTGGGACAGAAGGCCAAGGGCAGGCTCCATGGCAGCAGCAGTGCTTGGGAAGATTCAATGAAATGGCAATAGGGCAGACGAAGAGGGACTCTGATGGGGGACCAGGACTTGACTAAAAGAGGGGACGACCCCATGAAGTAATACTGAGGGCCCTACGCAGTCCTAGAAGCTTGGCAAGAATTCCCTGGGGGGCACAAGGAGAGAGTCTAGACGAGGGCAATGCTTACCCATCTCTGTAAGGCTGGTGAACCCTGGCAGGGCCGGGCTGCTCCGAGGGCCCTTCCCCAGGTTGGGGGCACTGGATGACCACTGTTTGTATCCATCTACCAGGGACTTGAGGCTAAAGAAGAGGAAAGGGGGAAACTGTTAATACTCCACCCTCAGTTCCACGGGCCTGTGGAAATGTGTCTCCCTTCATTACCCCAGAGCCCTACAGAGCCGTGGGGAGCAGGCAACACGCCTGGCTGCGCCCACCTGCTTCATGAACAAAAGCACACATGCTCCAGGGTGAGGAAAGCAGGGGCGTGACCCACCCTTCACATGCTCAGGGCTGTGCAAGGATCTGATGGGCAAGCCGGGAAGCGGACAGAAGGAATAAGACTGCCCAGCACCGGCCAGGGTCTTGCCTGAGCCCATCTTAAGGGAGAGGCCATCCATCCACAGACACTGAAGACAACACACTGGTGACTTCAGAAACACTGCAATGCCATGCCAGCCAAGCCCCGGACAGAGGAGCAGGCACAGACGGCCAGGCCGCTCCACTCACATCATTTCTCAATGTCTCCTTCCAAGCGTATGGCATGCTCAGGCAACTTCCAAAGCCATTCGCTTTCCAAAACCAAAAATCAACCAACACAGCTGCACCAACCCAGTGCACTTTGGGACAGACCTATGTGGGGCGTTCGTAACGTTGTATTCGGGCCCTCGGTTTGTCTGGGACTGGAGAGCAAAAGGTCAGGAGCTTGCTTTCATCCCTGGAATCAGCTCACACTAGCAAGCCAGCAACTACATACAAAGACTGGGAAGCCCACCACAACCCCCTTACAAGTGTGTGTGTGTATGTGGGGGGGCGGGGGGAGTGGAGTCGGGGGCCCAGAAGCACTGGCCTTTCCCTTGAGGACAATGAGAGGAAGGACAGGAATCTATGCTATGGTGCCTAAGACAGTGGTCAGCAAACCACGGCTCATGAGCCACATGTGGCTCTTTGGCCCCTTGAGTGTTCTAACGCCACTTCTTCAAAATAGACTCGCCTAGGCCAAAAACTGATTTCTGTGCATGGGCCACGAAGTTTCATTCGCACTGTACGTGCACGCCCACATGTGGTATTTTGTGGAAGAGCCACACTCAAGGGGCCAAAGAGCTGCATGTGGCCCTCGAGCGGCAGTTTGCCAACCACCGGCCTAAGAGATACCAGGATTAGAACCTGAGGTGGCTCTCATTTGGGGACTAGAAAGAGCCATTCAATGAAGCCCATCTTCCCAGCTTATCTTGAGGGAGAGAGAAGAACCAGCTTTTTCCATGACTTCAGACCTGTTTCAAGTGCTACCACAAATACCAATGGATTAGAATACATTCTAGCCACCAGTGGTGTGAACCAAAATACTCCACCAGAGATAAGCAAGCTGCTAGAACCCTAGCCTGGGACTTCTGCCCGATAATCTTAGAATAACACTGCCTCCAGCTCTGGGTCCGAGGAAATCCAGGTTAGCATATCAGAGCTAGTGCTGCAGACCAAAGGATCCAAACTACAGTCTCCCTAAAACTAAGGGTACTACCAGGAGAACCCCAATAACCGGAGTGACCAGGGACGTGAAGAACAAGGTAAAGTCAGACCAACACAGGAATTTTCCCAAGGTGCACGATGGTACTGCTTAAAATAAATAAATAAATAAATAAATAAATAAATAAATAAATAAATCAAAGGTCAGCACAGCTTGGCAATACTGAGGCTGGATTCTATGAGGCGCACTGGGAGAAGAAGGAAATGGAAGGGGGATTATTGCCAATACATTTGAAAGGGTGACGGTTAGACTCACCCCAAGTGGAAATGTGGAGATTCTGATGGGGTACTTAACCCGTTAGCTTTCTCCCGTCTCTGAGGGGATCTTCAATGAACACAGCGAATCAGTAATGGGCCCAGCAGGTATATCCAACTCAGCTTCTCCCAGGGGAGACCCCTCAAGGCTGGACTAGAGCTATGTCACCAGCCACCCTCCCCTTGTCCAGTCAGCAAAGCCCACACCATCAAAGGATCTTAAGAAGATGGCCCAGCTTGAACACATCAGGACCGCCCAGTCCCTGGGACAAAGGTCCCTGGGCAGCCACAGCATCATTCCACAGGGCCTGCAAACTCCCGGCTGTCGCCAGACAAGTGTATATATTCCCTACAAGTGTGGATTATTATATTTTTTAAATATAGAGATGCAAACTCAATATTACTCTATGTCTATATATTTTCTTTAGCTGACAGGGACCAAATTTAGAAATACTGTCATATAGAGACTCTCAAAAATTGCTGACATAAAAGAGGGGTGTATTTTGTTTATTTAATTTGAGTCTAGGTAGAATCTATTTTATTTCTTAAATAGGAATTGAGAATCATGAAAAATGAAGTCACATATTTTGAACTGCTCCAAAAGTTTTGAGGGCAGCCCTGGCTGGGTAGTTCATCTGATAAGATCATACTCCTTATACGCCAAGGTTACAGGTTCAATCTCCAGTCGGGGCATATACAAGAATCAGCCATTGAATACATAAACAAGTAGAAAGACAAATTGATGCTTCTCTCTCTTTCTCTCTCTTCCCCCTCTAAAAAACAAACAAACAAACAAACAAACAAACAAAACTAGCCAGGTGGCTCAATTTTTTGGAGCATCATCCCACACAACAAAAAAGTTGCAAGTTCGATTCCTGGTCAGGGTACATACCTTGGTTGGAGACATCCCTGGTTGGGGCACGTACGGGAGGCAACTGATCAATGTTTCTCTCCACATCGATGTAACTCCCCCCTCCCCCTTCCTCACTCTCAAAGATCAATGAAGGCATATCCTTGAGTGAGGATTGGGGAAAAAAATCTTTAAAAATAAAGTTTTGTGGGCAAATGCATATAAGGAGGAAGAAAATCCCAAAGTTAATATTTTATATTGCAAAATAAACTTAATCTATTAGCAAGAGAAAAAAAAAACTTTATATGAAGCCAAACCACCGAAACAATTGGGATCCTTAGCCGACCTGTTAAGTCCTATCTGTAAATCCCACTAATGTCAGAAATATCATGGGATTCAGAGTGACTGAGTGTTTTCTCTCCAGTCCAGGGCGCAGAGGACAGACCGACGGGCTCCTGCTCCTGTAGCACTCAGTGCAGCAGAGCAACTTGCCTTCCCCAGGGGGTCCGCACAGCTCAAGTATTTAATTTTTTTATTCCAAGGTAGCTGGCAATCTACAAAGTCTGGCTTCAAATGGTCAATCCTTCATGAACCGAAGCATTTTCACATTCAGCTCAGATTTGACATAGCGAACTAGATTTTGGATGCAAAATGTTAGTGTTTGGAGGAACACGAAGGCCAATTATAGGTTGAGGGCACTATAAGTCTACTATTCAACCTTAGACGCTCTTGGGAAAGCCACTAAGAAAGGGTGAGGCAGGCTGCTGCTTATACTCGCTCTAAGAAAAGTAAAAAAGCACGGTTCTAGGTTCTCACACCAAGAATAAGAAGTATAAACCATCATGTTTGTTCAGGTATAAAACAGAATTACATTAGAGCCTGGAAGAAGCACAGCAAATTTTACACCTGCTCACAATAAGCCAGCTGATCTCTGGCACTTCACAAAGACGAGCTTATTTACTCCTCCATTAACTCCATGAGATGGGCATGGATATAATGCTCATTTTATAGATTAAAAAAAACATAAGATTCCACAGCTAGGCATGGTGGAGCCAGGATTCAAAACCAAAGATCTCAGGGTCAGCATCCAAGCTCTTCACTAGCACACTACAAATGCCTGGCCTCTGAAGACAGGGAGAATGTGAGTCCGGGAGAATGTGAGTCCTAGGCCACAAGCTCAGAGACCACACACAAGCGCATCTAAGACAGCAAGACGTGCTTTGTGCTTTGTCCGGAGGGGGCGCTCATACCCATCGGAATGGCTATGGAGTGGGGCCTAAAAGAAGTCTAGTGGTCCTGAGTTCTACCTAACTGCTCTACCAGGGCTGGATTATTCTGCCTGCCACAGCTGACTGTGTCTCCAGTCAAGAGGGACCCCTAATCTGCTCTTCCTTCATTCCTCTGAGCAGTTGTGTTGGGGAAGAGCCAGGTTTAATTAAAATACTCCAGCAGAACTGTCCACCTGGCTCAGTCTTAGGGGACTTGATACTCTGAGTAGTGCTCCTCTGGCAGTCGGAGAACGGTGAACTGTTACTTGTGGTCTACCTCTGCCCATTAGCTCTTCTTCACTTATGTCTCATCCATGCTCTGTGGCTGCTTCTCCACTGCCATGGAGAAACTGAGCAGTTACCATAGACACCACACGGCCCACAAAGCCTAAAATATTTATTATCTGGCCCTTTATGGAAAAAGTATACCGACCCCTATCATAGGCGGTTCCAGGGAAAAAGGAAATTGGCCAACTCTTGTAAAGATCAAGAAGCTCAGGATTTCTGAGGAAGAAGTGAAACGCACAATAGAGAAAAAGGTACTTCACACGGTAATTTTAAAAGGCCCTTCCCCCACCCCCTTTAAAAGAGAATTTCACAAATCTGGCTCTTACCCTTCGTCGCCCGAGGCAAGCTCTTTCTGACCCAGTGTACTTGGCCCCCACGTCCGTCCCTTCTTCTTGGAAGCCCGCTTCTCCTCCTCCTCTCCTTCCTCCTTCGGGATGACTGAGCTCCGGCCCCAGGTTTTGCTGCTTTCACCTGGTGTCACTGTGAATAACAAAAGTTGGATGGGATCTGGAAGCAGATGGACAGCGCTCCCCACCTGTCCCCTAAACCAGCCTCTACACACACACACAAACACATACACACACACACACACACACACACACACACACACACACACACACACACACACAGTTGGAGCTCCCGGGAAGTCACACTTCCTAAAAAACTCTGTGCCCAAATGGAGCCTTCCAGGGAAGTGATGGAGTCCTCAGCCCCCACTGACTCAGCATTCTCAAAGTATCAAATGTGGAAGCCCTTCCTAGCTTCTCATGGGTCCAGCGAAAAGCTGGAGCGCAGGCTAGCCAGACCTCAGCTTTCCAAACAGATCTGCCTGAGGCATGTTTGGTTGGGTGGAACTAGAGCGTGGGGTGGGCGGGGATAAGGGGCAATGGAGGTGTGGAAGTGCAGGAATTTTTGTAAGAAAAGTGGTGGAAAGGAAGCAAATGAGGGTTTCAAGGCTCTGGAAAAGGCAGATAGGAGGAGGAGGACAGGGGTAAGGAAGAGAGAAATAGAAGAGATAAGAGGGGAAGAACACTCTTCTGAGCGTGAGCTGAAACCCACCTGCTTCAGAGACTTGGCTTATTTCACAAATAAGTGAAGTGAGCCAGTTGCCAAAAAAAAAAAAAAAAAGCAGTTGAGGAAACTGAGGCAAAGTACGAAGCATGTGGAAACCTCCGTGGGGTCCAGCCAACTGTGGCCACATGCAGAAGGGAGTCCACTGATGTGATCTGATTTTTAAGGAAAGCCAGAAATCCAGGATTTTTTTTTTTTATGAAATCTCTTAAATTGGGGAAACTAGTTCATTCATATACATACACACACGTATGCATGTGACATGTATATGTTTGTGTGTGTGTGTATATATATATATAAATTCTTTTTAATAAGCACTGCCATAAAATTGAAATCGGTCCAGACCTGGCCTATCATAAAATACTTGGCACCAAAACTGGTTTGGCTTAGTGGATAGAGCGACAGCCTATGGATTGAAGGGTCCCAGGTTCGATTCCGGTCAAGGGCATGTACCTTGGTTGTGGGCACATCTCCAGTGGGGGATGTGCAAGAGGCAGCTGATCGATGATTCTCTCTCATCAATGTTTCTGACTATCTATCCCTCTTCTCTTCTTCTCTGTGAAAAATCAACAAAATATAAAATAAAATAAAAATACTTGGCAAGTTTTCTTAGGACCTACACTTTGAAAACACCCTTCCCTGGGAAGCATGAACAAAAGACAAACAGGGACTCCTCAAATACGGCAGAGCCCACAAGGTGCCCAGCCTGTACCTACATCACACACCAAAATGCTTTATACCCACAGAACCCACAGACCCCTCTGCTGATATCTGACTACAAGGAAGAGGAAGGGGGGGCAGCAGTAAAGCTAATGGAGGGAGACAATGGGAGGCTGAGGTTTGCGTACATATGTGCATGTATATACACATTGTCGAGGAGAAGTGGCAGGAGCTATGGATGGCGCAAGCCTGGACCAGTCAGTCGGTGGCTGGACAGAGTAGGGGACAGGTGCCCCCGATGTTCTGGCCCCAACCAATTTGGGAAACAGTCTCACACTGGATGGCTCGAAGGCGAGGGATGATGGTAGGGCTTGCAGGAGGGCTGGAGCGGCTGCTGATGAGGCTCTTCCTTTTATCCATGGTGGGGGAGGCCTGGACCGTGAACTTGTGCTGGAAATCTGCTTGGAGAAAGATAAACACACATGCATTCCCATTTCCCCACAACCAAGTTCCTCCTAGAAAACACATGCTTCCTGGCAGGCTTGAGGGACAGGCCCCGTTTGCTAAGAAACTCCTTGTTCACCTGAGAATTGTTCTCTTTCAAAATCATCTCTTTTCCCAAAAAAAAGATGGCAGGATGGCAAGGAGAAGGAAAATTCTCCATCCCAGTGTAAGTCATGAGACAGTTTTCATAAATGGATGCAGGTGTAGCAATTACATATTTAGAGCAGTCCTTTTTAGATCCTGAGAGTTGTTGACTATTCTAGGAAGTCTAACTTTAAATTCTCCGTTTCGTATCATCTGTTAGTAACACCCCTCTTCTCAGGGACCCCGGCAGGCAGACTAATATTTCTCACCAAGTGTAGGCAGGGCAGGGGAAAAAGAACGAATCCTTGGTGGGAACCTAGGGAAGTGAGGGCCATAGAGCTAATGGTCCGAATTCTCATGTGTTTCAAAGGTGGTTGCGGTCGGCCTAAGCAATGGAAAACAGCTCTGAACTTCTGAGTGTTACTCTCCTCATCGATCAAAGAGGTATAGTAATCACAGCTGCACGCTGACACCTAAGTGTGCCCCCTGGACTGAGATCTCCCTGAGGGGAATGATGGTGAGTCTGCTTCCCCGGCCCGCGGCAGTGCGCTGGCACATGCTGGAGGCTCAGAGGAGCCTAGGGACTGTGTTGCCTGGAAAGAAAACAAATGGACAACAAGGAAACCAGCAGGCAGGTCCCATGAACACATTCACTGGCTCTCACTAAACCAGTGTTTCCCAAAGTGTGGTACGCGTACCCGCAGGGGTACGGGAAGAGTTTGGTGGGGGTACGCGTTGCACAGGAGTTTAGTGGGGATATGCACTGCACCGTACTTAGCTGCGCCTAATTCTACGTTCTCATGAGTACGAGGGGTACTCAGTGTTACCAAAATTATAGAAGGGGTACACATATGTCAAAAGTTTGGGAAACACTGCACTAAATGAATTCCCTCGTCTCTGCGTAAGCCTCCATTTTTGTGCTCCAGACCACCCACTACTGCCCCTACTGGGCTAGTTCCCCGCTCTCCTACCTTCTAATAAGCTTGCTTCCTGGGGCCTTCAGGACTTGGAATACAGTGAACTTTCTCGTCTACATAAACATACACTTGAGCGTTCACCTCCCTCCACGGGGACAGTGCCCCCCTCAGGATTCTAATGCCTCGTTTCATATTTCTTTGCATTTTCCCGAGGCTGTGCATACCACAAAGATACCTGTACTCAGCTGACGTGTTTCTGAGAGGATATGTAAATCAGATTCTTATACGTTAGACCTAATCTCAATTGCACGCAGTGAACGAGTTATTTAAAGGAACCCTGAGCCGAGTGATTTTGCACAGACAAGGGTTCTCTTTCTCACACTTACATACCATGGAATCTCTGCTCCCCACAATGACACGCTTCCTCTGCCAGATGTGCCGAAGGTAGGATGTGCTTACGTGAGCGGCCGTGCTTCTAGCAGCCAGACCGGGCTTGCCCGTCAGGACCACTGCCAATGTGTCTCCCCTTCACATTCTGCGTCTAGTCACCCTCACAAAGTGCCCGGGAGTGGAGCAGCTTTTCAGCAGGCCAGTTCAACCAGTTTACAGAATGGCCCATTCCAGGTCGGCTCCATGTTGAGACTCAGGGTGCGGAGTGTCCAGTTCAGTCCCTGGCTCCAACCCACCCCTGGCCACTCCAGCCCTTCGCCCAGTGCCCATGTCCCAGGGGGTCCCCAGCCACCAACCCGAAGGGAGGCTGATGCGGTTCCCGTCCTTGAGCTTCAGCCGGCTCTTGCGGAACTTGCCCTTGCGTTTCTTCACCCGCGGCTTCTCCTGGCACAGCTGGTGGATGATGATGTTGAGCTCGCGTCCCAGGATGTCGATCTCCCGCTCGGCCAGCTCCTGCTCGCGGCGTCGCAGCAGCTCCTCCTGGTTCTTCTGCTGCAGCGCAGCCCGCGTCAGCTCCTCCTCCCAGGTGCGGAGCTCCTGGGGGCGGCAGGACCCAGGACCATGAGTAAGAGAGGGTGTCAGTACAGAGAGGTGAGGCCTGAGAGCCTGGAGGCTGGTGCTCAGGGCCACCTTCAGAGCACCCCTTTAACAGGTGCCCCCTACATCCAGTCCCCAGCAGAGACAGCAGCACCACAGTTAGCTGGTGAACAAACATCTGACCGCCTGGATGGTGGAGAAAGGCAAGCTCAGAACAGTCAGACTGAGGATACAGCTAGAGGAGCCGGAGTTCCCAGTGGTTCTTTGACTCTTGATTAAAATTGCTTACGAGTTAGGAAAAAAAAAATGGAGGGTTGGGTAGAAAATACAATATGTACTTACATTTTATAGATATGATTCTACTTTAAAATTTCCCATCGCATAAAAATTTGTGTTTTGTTTTGTTTTGTTTTTAAATATATTTTATTGATTTTTCACAGAGAGGAAGAGAGAGATAGAGAGTTAGAAACATCGATGAGAGAGAATCATCGATCAGCTGCCTCTTGCACACCCCCACTGGGGATGTGCCCGCAACCAAGGTACATGCCCTTTCCCGGAATCGAACCCGGGACCTTTCAGTACGCAGGCCGACGCTCTATCCACTGAGCCAAACCGGTCCCGGCAAAAAATTTGTTTGTTTTTTTTTAAACCAGAGCCAACTTAACATGTTCTACCTTAAAATGTGCCCACTATAAATGAATCACCCTGCCGGCATCACCTAAAACATTCACACACAAAAAAAAAAATTAAAAAAAAAACAGCCCTAGCTGGTTTGGCTCAGTGAATAAGAGTGTTAGTCTGCAGACTGAAGGGTCCCAGGTTCAATTCCCATCAAGGACACATACCTGGGTTGTGGGCTCAATCTCCAGTGGGAGGCATGCAGGAGGCAGCCAATCAATGATTCTCTCTCATCACTGATATTTCTCTCTCTCCCTTCTCCCTTCCTCTCAAAAATCAATTTAAAAATATTTTCAACACACACACAGATTTCCAGAGTGGTTGTTGCAGAGGCAGGGGAGGCATGCTCACTTGGTGAGTGAGTCAGCTGAGGAATGTGGTCGGAACTCTCTTCTTATCTTAAAGGACAGCCATTTGCTCTGGAAGGACGGCGACGGTGCAGCCAAGAGAAGAGAGAACATCTCCTGACATCTTTGCCAGGCGCTTGTTCTAGAACCACTGCCACATTAGGTTAAAGTGACCAGATTCTTTTAAAAAATCGGGACTTTTTTAAAACGCCGCGGGACGCTGGACAAATTGTTAGAAATCGGGACTGACCCGCCAAAAGCGGGACGTCTGGTCACCTTATGTTAGGTGGGCAGAACCCCCTTTTCCTTCTGCATGAATTTATCAATGAACCCAGCACAGAGTCCTGGGAAGAGGTGGGAGACATGGAATCAGGAAACAGGAGAGAAAATAGGGAAGAGAACAAAGCATGTGCATAACATTTTAAAATATGGAATCTAAACTTTTCACAATGAATACTCCAGGCCTAAGCCTGAAGGGGGTGGGGATAAGAGGAAATATAAGAAAGCTCTCATGTTAATAACCTAGGACAGTGGTCGGCAAACTGTGGCTCATGAGCCACATGTGGCTCTTTGGCCCCTTGAGTGTGGCTCTTCCACAAAACACCACGGCCTGGGCTAGTCTATTTTGAAGAAGTGGTGTTCGAAGAAGTTTAAGTTTAAAAAATTTGGCTCTCAAAAGAAATTTCAAACGTTGTACTGTTGATATTTGGCTCTGTTGACTAATGAGTTTGCCAACCACTGGTCTAGGAGAACCATGTGTACAAGGTGGAATGCTTCTTTAATTAAAGAAGCCAGAGCAACACTTCTGTGGTCGAAACTTAAAATTCTCAATGACATGCTCCAGTAGAAGGAGTCATTCTGGACAAAAACAAAATACTGCAGATAAGAAACTTCGAGCTTTAGAAAGAAAAAAAAAAGTATGAGAGCACGTATTGGGGAAGCTGAGTAGCAGGGAGAAAGCAGACGAGAGCACAGAGATGGGAAAGAAACGTTCTGGTGGTAGGAGCTTTTCATCTCACTAGTCTTCCATTCCCAAGAGAAGATAAAAATAACCATAAAAGTAATAGAATGAGAAATGAGAAGAGGATTAGCCCCTAGGAAACTGTCTGGTATATGGCAGGTGCTCAATAGTTGCTGAATAACTACTGAGTCAATGAATGAATGAGTGAATGAGAAAGAAGAAAGAGGCAGAAGACACTTCTATAAATGAAATCTTCCTTTATGGGGACATAGACTCATCATAAGTATCTATGAGATGAGCTTGAACTTTTGAGCTTCTACTTTGATGGAATAAACTCCAAAGAGATCAATGGTGTACCTTCCAAATCCTTGGCTTCCCTGTCCCACGACCTAGCTTCCACCATCAGGAAAACACAAACACATGGACGAATCAGAAAAATTATTGCTGGTTGGTTGTAGTAATTTACCATGTGCTGCTAAGTGGGAAAGCTGAACAGTGCAAGCTAACAGCAGCCTTTCTAAGTCCTCTCTCCCACTTGCTCTTGTCTAATGGATGGTTTAAGGCTAAGCTCCTTCCTTTAAGGGAACCCCAAGCCCAGTCCAGAGACCAAACCAGGTCACAATACCTAGAGGCAGTAGGTTGAGCCAACCTGAAGAATAAGCCGGGTCACACAGGAAGCCAAGACATTCACAGAGTACATGCCTAGGGCACCCTATACCTGAAAGAACCTCAAACATGGTAAATCCCCTTCTTGTGAAACACCTCTGAGGGGTCAACCTCATAGTGTGCCAATCCTAGTGTCGACATCCAATAATGTAAGAGGAATCACTTTAGAGACAAAGCTCATTGTTCATCTTACCCTCACTGGCCCAACTACGAGCCTTAAGAGGAGAGGCATCACAGCATGGTAGTTAAGAGCAAGGACTCTGAGCAAACTGCCTGAGTTGTGGCCTTGGGCAATTTACTATGGGCCTCATCTGTGATAGGAAGTTAATAGCACCAACTTCACAGGGTTGTAAACCTAAGACAATTATTATCTAGTTACGTATGGTTATATAAGAATTCATAAAAATAAATAACAGACCATAGCACATACCCTGTTTCCCCGAAAATAAGACAGTGTCTTATATTACTTTTTTCTCCCAAAGTTGCGCTAGGTCTTATTTTCAGGGGATGTCTTATCTTTCCATGCACTAGGTCTTATTTTCAGAGGATGTATTATTTTCAGGGAAACACGGTAGTACCTGCTCTACGAATGTTAGCTATTGTGAGAATGGATTTGAGTTTTCCACTACTTATTGACAAAATCCAACTTTTTTTTTTTTTTATTGGCTGGTACCCTTATAATTTCATTAATTAAAAGAAATAACTGAGAGTAGGCGATTCAGCATTCTAACAAAAGGCCAGGAACTCTGCAGTTTTTCAGGTTGGAACAGTTTCTTCTAATCATTCTGCTCAATGGTCAGTGCAGGTCTCTCCCCCTCTCCCCTTAAGATCCTTAAAGATTTGTCATCAGCTCACTCCATTCCCCTGCAGAATGCTCACTGACTTGTCAAACAGTATCAAGTTTAGGATTGCTCTGCTGAATAAAAAGAATTCAATCTCGCCCTAGTTAATTTGGCTCAGTGGATAGAGCATCAGCCTGCGGACTGAAGGGCCCCAGGTTCGATTCCAGCCAAGGGCACATGCCTGGATTGCAGGCTCAGTTCCCAGTGGGGGATGTGCAGGAGGCAGCCGGTCAATGATTCTCTCTCATCATTGATGTTTCTCTCTCTCTCTCCCTCTCCCTTCCTGTCTGAAATAAAGAATTCAAACTCGTTACCTCAGCTCCAGAAATGATGTTGAAGTCATTTGTTTAGGGAACAACAGGGGTGTTTGGGAATCAGAAGATCTAGGTTGAAGTTTCTTACCTAGACAAGTCAGGTAAGACTGACCCTCAGTTCTGGGAAGAAAATGATAATGACACCTGCCCTATATGCTGGTGGCAGGGGCCTAAGACTCCTCGATAAAAAGGATAAAAAGGTCTTAGCAGTCCTTTCAAGTGAACGAACTGGGAAGTCATAAAGATACATGTAATTTTAGCTGCTATTATTATATTGCTTCCCAAATTCTCATGGTGGGGAGTGAGGAGGCAGAGAAATTAACCAGGTCTCTGTATAGACCTCCCTCCTGGCCTTTGATGTAGCCCTTAGATTTAGTTCCGCCCCTGCAGTATAAAGCAACACAGCTGCTTTAACTTTCCCTGTGAGGACACTGACTACACCAAGGGCACAGAGAGGGGACATTTATGGAACAGCCACAAAACAGGAAGATGGACCTCTACCTGGCTAAGCCTCTGAACTCCCTGGTTGCCAGCCCTTTTCACAAAAACTTGAAAAATGCCAAACAAATTCAGATCCACAGTATTTTTAGCCCACATGCTATTTCTGATTCTGATACCAAAAGACACTGGCAAGGTGCTCTGATAACTGTTCTCAATGATGAAGCATCCTTGTATCAAGCTAACCCCTCGACAAGTCCATTGCAAAGCCAAGAAACCTTTCAAGAACCCTTTTGCATTTTCAGCTGGCAGGTGAGACACCACGCCGGTACTTGCCCAATGGTGTGCTCCCTCGGTTTGGACAATGAAGTAGATAGGCTCAAGAAGAGCTTTGGCTCCGACTCCCCCTGCTTAATCCTGCCTTATTTCCAAAAGAAGAAAAAGTCTATACCATTCCAGGTCACACCTGAGGTCTGGAGGATTCATTCCATGCAAAGCTGGGAAGGAAAGAGCTGCCCTGTTACTGCAAACCAAGCAGGAAGGTGGTTGTGTCAGGATCTGTCCAGAGGCCCCAGCAGAGAAGGCTCACTGATCCGATGCATGACTTTATCTTTTTTCTCTTACCTTTTCTTTGGCCCTGAGTTGGTCAAACATCTCCTGAATCTCATGTTTCCAGTCATCCTGCAGGCAGTGGAAGGAGTCCTTGGGCATTTCAAAGAAACCAGACTCCTCTATGGTAGTTAGCTGGTCCAGGATATTTGTGAAGGGTGGTCGTGAATGGGGGTCGGGGTTCCAGCAATCTTCACGGAGCACGTGAGCAGACAAAAAGCAGGAATGGACAGAGGCAAATGTTAGACTTAGGATACTATGATCTCATTTATCAGACAACTACCTCTCTCTTCTCCATTCAGAAACAGACACAGGGATTAAGGTCCACAAACAGAGCTTAGGAAGTAAAGCCAGGTGCCCAGCATCATAATCAAAGAATGTGAATTTGTTAAAAATAAATAAATAATAAATAAATAAATAAATAAATGCTGCACATGTGCACCCATCCAATGGTGACTATTGATTCAGCACGAGAAAGGCAAGTCCAAAGAGTTCCCTTGTGTGAAGTTCACTGCCTCACTTTATCCAGTTACTCACGATTCCAGTCCTACAGTGGGTAACTAAACCTTGGGCCTCAATTTTCCAAAACCCAATGAGCTACCCTCCCCCACCTCAATGGGCAATAGAGAAGGCAACAATCAACAGCATTGGAATGGGAGTCAGGAAAAATGAATTCTTTCTACTTTTAGCTCAGCTCTTACTAATGGAGTGGCCACTCATCCACTTTGCCTTTCTCCACTTTGGATTTTTCACAAAATTGTAGGATTTGAGTAGATGACTTTGAGAGTTCCTTTCTTCTCAGGTGCTCTTTATTTCTACATGTAAGACACGCAGAGGTCCTAAAATAAAAGCTGCCATACCTTTTTCATTTGAGTTAATATAATGAAGAACTGGATAGCAGGCTTTAGTTACTAAGTTAAGATCTACAGTCACTGGAGAAGGACAGAAGGGACAGTTGTGATAGCAACTATCAGGGCGCTAACATCATCTTGAAGTAGCTCTTCCAACCACCCATAGGATTCCTCCTTGAGTGACTAATGCTTCATCTTCTCTTTCAGTAACTGATCCTGCAGAATTGGCCAAAATCTATCAAGTGCAGATAGGACAGTGAACTGTCTCCAGTTCTGTCCTGGCGAGGGATCACTTACCTTCCATGAGTTTGGCAAAAGGTTCTGGGCATGTAGAAGGGATGGGGAGGGCGAGTTTGTTCATGGCCACTCCATAAGCGACTGCCAAGCCATCGATCCCTCGGAAGGGCACCTCACCAGTCAGTAGCTCCCACAGCAGCACCCCGTAGCTGGGAGAAGAAGACGTGATTACCACAGGTGCAGCTGCACTGAAATAGTTCATTCATGCGTGCCTGCTGAGCATGCCACATGCTCTCCAGCATGTGGGGAGACTAGCAAAATGGATGTCATAATGTAATATGAAAGGGGGACTATAAGGCCTTCTGGCAGAAAGCAAAAACTCTGGAGTCAGGCACACTTGGTTTCAAAGTCTGCTCCTCAAATTCCTCACCTGTGAAGGGCAAATAACACTAGCAAGTCTCTCAAGACTCATGACATTAAATGAGCTCCTCTAGTGTTTAAATCAGTGCTCAAGGGCCACAGCTATTTTGTTGTTGTTGTTATTGTTAATGTAAACTGGGAGAAGGGGCAGCCTCCCCAACATACATTTTTTTCTGTTTTTTAAAAAAATTTTCTGCTTTAGTCACAAATACACACACCACACACACACACACACACACACACACACACACACACACTGAGTGGCCAGATTATTATGATCTCTGAATGCATAATAATCTGGCCACTCAGAAAGCTGATCACTCCAAACAAACAGATTTTTCTCCCTAAAATCTTTCAAAAGGTTTCTTTAATGCCCACTAGGCTGAATAGATTCCTGTCCCCATCAGTGTGAGTCCTTAGTGGACAATGCTGAGTAATTCAAAGGGATGTTTTGTTAGGGTGGCCTGAACCAGCGGAGCATAGCAGATGACCAGCTGTGAGGACGTCAGAGCTCTCCCTACCTTGTAAGTCAACATGAAGAATATCTTTTCACCGGTCCTAGGAGCCAGAGAAGGAGGAGTAACTATTCTACAAGTTCACAATCAGAACTAGACAAAATATGGAGTGTTCAACCTTTCCAGGTTTGAGTCAGGACAAGGAAATGTAAGGCCATGAATGGTTCGAACAGTGGCTCTTTTCGTATTTTCAACACAAACCTCCAATTTTAAAATATTCATCAGTAGTTTACAAACAACAAAAAGTCATATTAATTAAATTTAAAAAGGAAAGAAAGAACCCAGTATCTATTTTGTGCAGGGTGCTATGCCATTTACAAACACCATCTTGAATCCCTACAATAAACCTGCAAGTTAAGTTTCATCATCATTTTGCAGATGAGGAAAGCAAGCTCTAGATAGGGTGAGCAGCATATATTAAGGGCATACATGAACTAAGTTATGGTAGACTCTGAACCACCTTTCCATTCTTTCTCTCTAGAATGCACTTCTACAATTTCTCTGCCTGGTAAACTCTAATCATCTTTCAAGATCCGATTCAAATGCGCTACCATTTATACATTCATTTTAAACATCTATTAAATATTTATTATGCATCAAGCTCAATGCCACACACTAGGATACAGGATAAAAGAGACAGATCTTGCCCTGGCTGGTGTGGCTCAGTTGGTTACAGTGTCATCCCATACGCTGAAAGGTCTTGGGTTTGATTCCTGGTCAGGGCACTTACTCAGGTTGCAGGCTCAGATCCCCAGTTAGGGTGAGTATGGGAGGCAAATGGGTCAATGTTTCTTCTCTCTCCCTCTCCCTTCAATAAAAAACACATCCTCGGGTGAAGATAAAAAAAAAAAAATAAATAAATAAATAAATAAATAAAAGATACAGATCTTATTCACAAAGAGATTAGTGAGAGGAACAGAAAAGAACATCAATTAGAATATGGAGAAATGAGTCACAACAGAGATACTAAGAGAGAACAAAGGAGGGCCACCCAAACCATACTAGGTTGGGATGGGAGTTTGCTAAACCTTGAATGCTGAGTGAAGGAAGAATTAGTGCTCCATAGACAGGGATCAGCATGTACCAACACATGAACTTGTCTTTAAAGAAGCCCAAGTGGTCTGGCATGGTCCCAAAGAGTAATAATGTGCCAACCCATGAGCCAGGGCAGCCAGGGGGTCCTGACAGATGGACCCTCAGAGTAATCTGACTAGTCTCCTTAGAGAATGGCTTTACCCCGGTGACCCCTCCAAACACTTGATGTATCTTGATAGTAAAAAGCCTAGTAGACAATTCCAAGAATCTTGTCTGGACAAGGTGTTGGATTTTAGACTGAGGCTGATGAGAACAATTGGACACGTTAGGAAGCCTTGGCTAACATCTCCAGGTGTTACGCAGCCTTTGTTTGGGCTGCCACATATTGAAGTTGCTTATTCACCAGCCTATGGGCTCCTAGGGGCAGGGATAGTAGTGTTTAATCTGCATTCTCAAGGCCTGGCTCAGGCTCTAGTACACAGTAGGCACTCATTTAGTGAGTGAGTTGGTGGAGGGGTGGAGGAGTGAGTGCCTGGTAAGATGGTCTTGCAGAGTGCAATGGGTACCCTTGAGTAAGCCCTGAATACCACTAAGAATTGCACTATTTACTTCCTACCAGACCTTTAATGTGAACATCCAGACAGAGCTCATCCCGGGCAGTTTTTACCAAGTGAACTCTCAGCACTGCTGATGAGATTCCTAGGTTAGAGTGACTTTCCTCTTGCTTGCCCTTGGCATGGCTGCCCACCTCCACCCTGAGGAAGGAACGAACACCCACGGTCCCAAAGAACCCTTTCTCCCATCCAGGCAAAGACAAATGGGGTATGAACCCTAACCATCTGGAAAGACAGTCAAGTTTCAAAGATCCAAACATGCATCCTCTTTTGTGTCCTAGCATCTCCTGTGTGATGGTTCTCACGTGGAATCCTAGGTGACCCATGCAGAAGTCTCAGGCCACCTGGAAAAGGGAGGAGCCAGGCACCTCTCGTCTTAATAAGAGCAGCTCTGCTCATACCTGGCTGGCTTCTCTGGGCATCAGCATTCCATTCTTTTTGAAGGACTCTACAACTAAGTGAAATGGGAGGACTAATTTCCCCCAAGAAAGATTGAGACAGACTTCAGTCAAATGCCTGCTTTACCACTGACCAGCCATGTGACCTTGGAAAAGCAAGTTCATGTCTCCAGACCGGTTCCCTCATCTGTACAAAGACAGCCCTTATACCTCGCAGAGCAGAGAATAACAACCGCTCCTCATCCAGAAATCTCCATCTGTAGCTAGCAAACATCTGTGCTGCCCTCGGAGGGGACCTGAAGGGAGAGTGGGCTGGTAGGAGCTGGGGAGAGCCCACCGTGTGTAGAGTGAGAGCCTTGTTGAAGGACACCAGCCTTTTTGGAAGAAGCCTTTCTGGAGATGACTCAACCAGTCCAAGTTCTCCTCTGCCAATGTTCCTGCTTATTTTTGTAACAGAAGGTGGGTGATATAAATGAAGTCTTGGTGTTCCTTTCCCAGGAATAGAGCCCAAGAAAAAAAATTGGAGAAATACTCGTCAGTTGGGTCTGAGCCCCAGGGAGAGGTGCGCAGTGATAGATCCTCCCTTCCTCCAAATGACAGACTGAGAATGATGTAAACTCCACCTGCAGCCCAGACATTCCTGAGCATCTAACAAGGCACCTTATATAGACGGTACATTTAACCACCAATCCGCACCTACCAAATACCCTAAGCCCCTGATTCCTTAGTCCCTAATCATGTGCCTTACATGAAACCACCAATCAGTGTGTGCTGAGTGCCCTAAGTCCCATCCCTTCCTTTTCCTCCTCTCAAAAGGCGTGTGCTCTTTCTCCTTGGAAAGTAGCCCGGCAGGGGTATTCTCCACCAATAAAGCCTGTGTCCTGGTATCCTGGTCTCGGGCACTCTGTTTCATCTTTCAGAAGCCCACTGATTTACCTCAAGTTTAGCCTAATTTGTTGCCCTCCTGGGATTGAAAAGAAAGGTCAAGAGATCCTTCCAAGACCATTGACAAGCAGCCTGGAAGTACCCACTAAAACACTGCCTGGGAGCCCCTCCCCCACAGAAAACCCCCAGCTCTCACAGTGCTGCCCTCAGGGAACACAGCTGGTGTCCTTCATTAGCCACCTCCACAGGTATGGTAGCCTTCCCCAATTGGGAATAATCAAAGGTGGGGGCGGGGTGTTTTATTTTTTTCAACTTGAAGAAAAGCATCTGAGTGGTAGCAACCCTTCCCAACCAAAGACATAGCAATTTTGCACCTGAACTGGACCAAGGACTGTTTTTCTTCTTAACCTGTGTTATCTCTAAATTAGAGACAACCTGTTTATTAGGCATAATTGTCAACTCAGGGGTCTATGCCCTAAAAGGAGAGATGCCGCCTGAATGGGGTCTTACACTTAGTAATCAGCTGTGACCCCACATTCAGGAACCTCACTGACTGTTTACTAATCTTTGGCAAAGCAACGAACTTACAATATGTGAAAACACTGTAAATTGTGAAGTAGCATACACTTCTTCTTGTGGTTAGCTGGATCCTCGTTCAAAATGATGACACATTTACTAACGTATTTATGTAACACATACATTGATAGTTTTATTGACAAAAATATGTATTGATATGTTCATCAATATTATATTTAAAAAGTAGCTTAAAAACAGAATAGCCCCATTTTAAGTGCTGGGTGGATGAGCACGTAAACAGGAATGAGTATACCAAAATATTAATATAGGTTATCTTTAGAAGTAAGTTGTGGGTGATTTTCTTTTTTGTTTATCCATATTTTCTTTTTATTTTTTTTCTATAGTGAACCCATTTTACTACTGTAACTTTAGAAACTTACAATGATCAATAAAATGCCTCCATTTCATCCCACATGAGATAAACGATGCACAGCATTCAGTATAGAGCCTGGCCCGTAAGCATTCGTAGGCGGTAAATACTGCTACCAGTGTATGTGTGCTGTATGAATAGCAATGGGCACATGTTTTCTTTGGTAAAGATGCAAGATCATTTAGAACCACTTAGATGAGCAGGCTTGAGGAGAAAGAGATGAACCCATTTAATGGGTTTAATAGATTGTGTCCTAGAAAGAAATACAGAAGCATGGAAGAAGCTAACGAAGCTAGGAAAAAATAAAGGGGGGGGGGGGTGAATTATGTTTTCAAACCACATTCATCAGCCACGCTGAGTCAGGAGGCTTGAGCCCTGGGAACAATCCTAATACAGAGACCCGCTGGCAGAGCAGACCAGGAGACAAATTCCAAAATACCTTCAGCCAAAATGCAGTTGATTTGAAGTTTACCTCCAAGCCACTCCCTTCAGGTGGTAGAACAACATCATCAGATGCCTCTCTCTCACCAGAGGCTCCTCAAGCCTGCTTTCAGGATGTGTGGTTTCAGGGCAAGACCTGGAGGTTAGTCTTGGAACGAGGACACTTGGGCTAAAAGCCAAAAGGTTCTGCCTTGTTCCTTCCAGAGCCCTGCAATGGCCTTGCCCTTCTTGCTGGATTTCTATCACTATGAGAAGATCTGACATTAGGCATCTGGGTTTGTCCTTCCCACTAAGAATGTACGTGGTATCCAGAGGCAACTCTGCCCACAACATGGAAGCAACAGAAATCTTGGGAATGTGTGACAATTAATCCTGAATGATTTCAGGGCCAGGCTGGGAGAAGAGGCTAGCAGGGATGTAGAAAGTAGAAAACAATCATGCTACTGAGCAGTCATATTGTCCCATGAAGAAAGTTAAGATGAAGTTGAGTGTGGCGAGTGGTGGATTGTCCCCTGGAATCCATTCTCTCCTTCTTCCACAGTAAGAGTTTTAACTGGGCACATGGTTGTCCAGCCTACATTTGTCTGTCTTCCTTGGAGCCAGGTGTGCATACATAACCTAGAGCAGGCAATGGGGGTGTGCACAAAGAAGATGTGCACTTCTTCTGGGTCATCTCCAAATTAAAGACAAACTGCTGGCCATGGATAAGCTCTCGTTCCCCTTCTCTACAGATTGTAATGCAGAAGCAACAGTCAATTCAGACGAAACCATTCAGACAGCACTGAGAGACCCAAAAGAACTTGGATTCCTAAACCATCTCACAGGGCACAAAAGAAATACATGTCTAGCAGCACATTTACAATAGGATTTGGAAACAGCCTAAGTGCCATCAACAGATGAGTGGATTAAAAAGCTGTGGTACATCTACACAATGAAATACTATGTTGCTGTATAAAAGCAAGAACTCTTACCATTTGCAACAGCATGGATGGACCTGGAGAGCATTATGTTAAGCAAAACAACCCAGTCAGAGAAAGATAAATATCTTGGCGGTTCCTCAAAAAGTTAAACATAGAATTACCACGTGACTCAGCAATTTCACTCCTCAGTATATACTCAAGAGAACTGATAACATATGTTCACACAGAAACTTGAACACAGATGTCCATAGCAGCACTGAGCCAAAAAAGTAGAAACACAAACGTCCATCAACTGATGAATAATGGATACACAAATTGTGGTATATCCATAAATGGAATATTATTCAGCTATACAAGGAAAGAAGTTCTGATGCATGCTAACACATGGATATACCTTGAAAACATTATGCTAAATGAAAGACGCCAGTCACAAAAGACCATATGAAATATGATCCCATTTGTATGAAATGTCCAGAATAGCCAGTAAGTTTGTGGTTGCCAGGGCAGATTAGAAAATGACTTCTAATGGGTATCAGGTTTCTTTTTTGAGTAATAAAAATATTCTGAAAATAGATAGTGGTTATATTAGGTTGAATGGTGGCCTTAAAAAGTTATGTCCATGTCTTCACACCCAGCAGCCTTATTGGGAACAGAATCTCCCCTAGAGTCTCGAGAGGGGGTGTAGCCCTACTGACATGTAGCCTACATGAATTGTAGACTTCTGGTCCCCAGGCTATAAATTTCTAAGGTTTGTGGTAATCCATTATAGCAATCCTAAGAAACTAATAACAATGGTGACTGGTGTCAAACTTTGTAAATTCACTAAAAACCACTGTCATGCTTTTTAAAGGGTAAATGTGGATATCTCAAGAACGCCGTTACTAAAAATACACACACATACATACAAACACATAAGCTCACTTCACAATACATCAGGAAGCAACGACTTCACAGACTGAGGTACAACGATAACCTACAGTCCTTTTTTTTTGCGTACCAAGGTGATGCTACAGTCTCATGGCCACGGGATGCAGACTCTGCAGATGCTCATCCTCCCATCAGTGGGGACAAGAGTTTTAGACCCATATATTCACACAAATACTTGTATTCCTCTTAAAAGGAATACAAAAGTGACCCTGTGGGCTGATATTTATTAGGCAGAAGGCTGGTCCAACCTGTGACTATGCGTTTCTGGGCACATACTTGGACCTGTCTTTTCCTACTCCCATATCCACATCAACAGATAGACTAAAAAGGTTAACTGGATAACTGGAAAGGATAATATCCAGCAGCCAAGAAAAAAGAGACAGCACAGTGAATACTTATGGTCCCAGGAGCTTATAGAGAAGACGAGTTCAGCAGTAAGAGCCACTGTTGCTAAGCAAGCCAGGGTGACCCTGGTGAAGGTCTCCAGGAGTGACTGAGTACCCTCACCCCTTACAGTACACACTGCCCCTGAACTTCCCTAAGGAACAATCATGGACAGAGAGGGGCCTGCACAGATGTGCACTTGCCACAGCACTGGAGGGACTTCTGGCAGATGAAGGCATTGGAAACTGTCCCCTGGCAACTCGGGAATTAGTGCAGATTGCTCTGAAGAGGTCACTTAGACCTACTTGGGGTTCCTGGGAGTCTATGCAACCTCAGTTCTCCAAGTCCCAAAGCATGTGTGCAGCCAAAACAGACCTGAGGGACACTGGCCCCGCCCCCTACACCTTACCTCCACACATCGCTGCCTTTGGAAAACATGGAGGCACGAATGACTTCGGGGGCCATCCAAGCGTACGTCCCTGCCGCGCTCATCTTGGTGGTTCGGTGCCATTCCCGAGCCAGGCCGAAGTCGGTGATCTTCAGAATCTTGTTGCTGAGGTCTCCATTCTCCACCTTCTGGAGGATCAGTACTGGGCAAGGAAAGGAATACAAAGAAACCAGAGAGTCTGCCTTAGTCACAGGGAAACCACCAAATACAGAGTCCCCCTGGACCCATTGTCCTCTCCTGTGCAGCTACCACGGACTGACTGATGGTTGAAGCTGTCACTCTAAACAACTACGAGGCCCCATTTTTATACCAAGTCCTTTATCAGCATTGTCTCCAAAACACACAAAGCCATACAAGGTTGGTACTACTGCCATCTCTGTTTCACAGAGAAAACTGAGGGGAGGAAACAACTTTGGCACATTAAATTTTCCAGGGCCACTCACCAAAGAAGCTAGGACTGACACCCAGGCAGCCTGACTCAAGAGTCTTCTCTTAATCTTATAACATACGGCCCACTCACCCCTAAGGAAGGAGCTAAAGTCACAGCTGGCCCCTCTGAGGAGGAGACACTTGGGCTTTCTGTCGGCCAGAGCTTCCTCTGGGCTATAACCTAAACTTCACGGTATATGAACAATGCCGCTATCATTGAAAGTACCCCCACACACATACAAACACATAAGCTCACTTTACAACACATCAGGAAGCAACGGCTTCACAGACTGAGGTACAACGATAACCTAGAGCCGTGGTCTGCAAACTGCGGCTCACGAGCCACATGCTGCTCTTTGGCCCCTTGAGTGTGGCTCTTCCACCAAATACCACGGCCTGGGCGAGTGAGTCTATTTTGAAGAAGTGGTGTTAGAAGTTTAAGTTTACAAAATTTGGCTCTCAAAATAAATTTCGATCATTGTACTGTTGATATTTGGCTCTGTTGATTAATGAGTTTGCCGACCACCGACCTAGAGTCCTTTCTCAGCCCACAAGAAATGGAGGTGCACGTTGGATCGCCAAGGTTTCAGTACCTGGGTAGTTTCCATGAACCAACTCAAGGTACTTCATTTAAGTTCTTAAGAAAACGCTTTTTGGACACAGAGAGTTCCCCTTATTCCAGGAGCTCACCTCTTACCCATTGGGAGCTGGCTGACAGGGTCAGAGGGCACACACACGTTCACACCCATGATGTTCTCTATAAACATGGCCAGGAAGGAAGAACTGGGGGCTGAACTGGTTCTACTGGGCCGACTCCCAAGCTCTTAACGCCAAAGCATCGCCGTGTGGGAGCCATCCCGGCGTTCCTCGGACAGCAGCTGAGGCAGCCACCTCACGCACAGGATGGTTTCGGTGATAAGGGAGCCCTTGTGGGAGCCGATCTCCCCAAAAGGACAACAACGCTAACTGACTGCAGTGCTGTAAGCTAAGCCAAGGCTCTCTGCGGAGGGGGCAGCGAGGGAACGCCTTGGATCTGTGGAGGGCAAGCCTCCGTTTTCACAAGTGGGATGGTTCCACAGGCCCGGGGCAAACACAGCCACTTGGGGGCTAGACTGACCACGTGGAATTCTGAGTTCTGAACACAGGATTGCAGAGAAGGGGGAAGGCTTCTCTGCCTCTCAGGTGGGAGGTGTTAGGGCGAAGGCCTTAGACAGGACCTGCAGTCATACAACTGTGCTTTTCCTGCTGTGTTCCCCCACCCCCCAGCAAATGTCCAACTGTTACCACGTGCAAAGGATGGGGGTCAGAGGTATCCAAGTCCTATATGGTTCTCAGAAAAATCATCAGTTAAAGAGGGATTACAAGAAGCCATGGAGCTGGAGGCACAAAAGAAAACAGTGCCAGCCACTCCCTAAACCTAATGGACTGTCTCCTTCCTCTACACCCTCTCCCCTGACACAGCGCCCCCACTTCCTGCTTCCAGGAGCCTGAAAGAGTCCAGGCCTCTGAGTGCTTGGGCAGATTAAAAACAGAAAACAAAACAAAACAAACAAAAAAACACCTTTCATCGTGTCATCTACTAAAAATCTTTCCAGCCGAAACTGGTTTGGCTCAGTGGATAGAGTGTTAGTCTGCGGACTGAAAGGTCCCAGGTTCGATTCCAGTCAAGGGCATGTACCTTGGTTGCAGACACATCCCCTGTAGGGGGTGTGCAGGAGGCAGCTAGTCGATGTTTCTCTCTCATCGATGTTTCTAGCTTTCTATCCCTCTCCCTTCCTCTCTGTAAAAAAATCAATAAAAATAAAATAAAATAAAGAATAAAAATCTTTCCAGTAACTGATTTGGCTCAGTGGATAAAGCGTGGGCCTGTGGATTGAAGGGTCCCAGGTTTGACTCTAGTCAAGGGCATGTACATTGATTTCGGGCACATCACCAACAAGAGGTGTGCAGGGGGCCACTGATCGATTTTTTTTTTTTTTTTTTGAAGTTTCACAGTACATATGCACATGGAACCAGCTAAACTTCCTCACACTCTATGCTGGAATGGGAAGCAGAGAAGTTTAGATTCTGCTACAGGAAAAGGATTTTTAGCCACTGAAATGGCATACTGAAGATGATTTTTAAAACAGATTAGTCTGTCTGTTGGTTTAAGAGGAATGAAAGGTGATGAAGATGGGGTAAGAATCAGCGGGGAGATAAGACGGTCTGAATCTGAACCTCAAACATGTATCCCAACAGGTTGGACCCTGAAGGCATTGTGTTAGAAACCCCTGGCGAGGTGTCCTGCCCTCAGCCACAAGAAGTGTGATTAGAAGCCAGCTAGTAAACCCAGCAGATGGTTACAGGCAAGGATTCTCCAGTGTCCTGACATACTGGTATCAAAAAGTATCTATTATTAGTAATAATTATGGTTATAGAGTTTGTAAAAGCTTTACCTTTCCCTTCCTCTGTAAAAAACCAATAAAATATATTTCTGTAGTTTAAAAAAAAATTGAAATGAAATTCACATAACATAAAATTAAAATTTTTAAAGTGAACAATTCAGCCGAAACTGGTTTGGCTCATTGGATAGAGTGTCATTCTTCAGACTGAACAGTCCAGGGTTTAATTCCGGTCAAGGGCATGTACCTTGGTTGTGGGCACATCCCCAGTAGGGAGTGTGAAGAAGGCAGCTGATCGATGTTTCTCTCTCATCAATGTTTCTAACTCTCTCTCTCTTTCTCTCTGTAAAAAAAAAAAAAAAAAAAAAAAAAAAAAAAATATATATATATATATATATATATATATATATAAAAGTGAACAATTCAGTAGTACTTAGTACATTCACAATGTTGTACAACCACCACTTCTACCTAGTTCCAAAATATTTTCATCACTCTTCCAAGGAAACCCCATACTTATTAAGAAATTGTTTCCCATTCTCCCCTCGTCCTAGCCCCTGACAACCACCTATTTGCTTCCTATCTCTGTGATTTACCTATTCCGGATACTTCACATAAATGGATTTCTATGATATGTGGCACCTATGGTTACTGCACTTGGCATGTTTTCAAGGTTCATCCACATTATGGCCTGTGTCAGTGCTTCATTCCTTTTATGGCTGAATAATATTCCATTGTATGGATATACCACAATGGAATATTATCCACCTGTCCATTAATAGGCATTTGGGTTGTTTCCATCTTTTGATGATTGTGAATAGTGCAATGAACATGTGTGTACATGTACTTTTTTGAGTACCTGTTTTTAATACTTCGGGGCATATATGTAGGAATAGAATTACTAGATTATATATAACTAGATGCTCAGTGTACAAAATTCTGCACTGGGGAGGGGGTCCCTCAGCCTGGATTGCAAGAGGGCACAGGCCAGGCCAAGGGACCCCACCAATGCATGATCGGGACTGGGGAGGCACTCAGGAGGTTGGCCAACTGGGGAGGGACCATAGGAGGAGTCCAGGTTGTTCAGTCCCAATCAGTTGGACCCCAATAGCAAGCTAACCTACCAGTTGGAGCGTCTTCCCCCTGCTGGTCAGTGCACGTCATAGCGACTGGTCGACCAGTTTACTGTCTGCCTCCTGGTGGCGAGTGCACACCATAGCGATCAGTTGAGCAGCTTTAGCATATCATTAGCATACTTGATTGTTGTGGGTGAAAATATAAACCAAAACCAATCCATTGCATGAAGATTCTTTCCCCTGTCTACCAGTTTTCCTCCAGCACCTGGGATCCATGCTTCACTCTGGCCACCGCCTTCTGTCTTCACTCTGGCTGGAGCCTTTACTCCGGGGGGAACCTTCAGTGTTCACTCCAGCCAGAGTCTTTAGCCTTCTCCACTCCAGCCGGAGCGCCACTCCTGTAGCTCCCTCTGCCCCCCACTCTTCCCCTCATAACAGGCTAGCAGGCATCCTGCCCCGCCCGGCTGCTCCTCGCCTGTGTATGCAAATTAACCCACCATCTTTGTTGGGTTAATTTACGTACTCAACTGATTGGCTGGTGGCATCATGGAGGTACAGTCAATTTGCATATTTCTCTTTTATTAGTGTAGATTACTCTTTTATTGGTTGAATGGCTGACTGATGACTGGCTCTTATTATATAGGATTCTATGCATATTAGGCTCTTATTATATAGGATTCTATGTTACACTTTTTGAGGAGTACCTGTGTATCATTCACAGACTCCTCACTGCCCCATCCTATTGTTGCTGGGTGCTGGGGGCATCTTCCCAATGTTACCTATTCCTGGGGAATAAGGAGAGCCAACTTATAACAAGGAGGATAACAACACTGGGGAAAGAGGAACACATCGGCCAGGTTCTCTAGTGACTAACATGTCCAGCTGGTGCTGGTGGGGGACACAGGAAAGATAAGCTCATCTTTCTTATCTTTCAAGGGCCTCCCAAAAGCTGCATGGAAAGATACATGACAAAACTGAACATGAGGTCAGGACAAAGCATGCACCAATAAGGGCTCAGGTTTTGCTACAGTCTCTAAGATCATCATGGTTTTCCAAACCTCAGTAGCTCAAGAGCATTACCTATATACCATTTACTTAATTTTTTTTAAATTGATTTCAGAGAGGATGCGAGAAAGAGAGAGATAGAAACATCAATGATGAGAATCATTGATTGGTTGTCTTCTGCATGCCCCCTACTGGGGATCGAGCCCAAAACCCAGAATTGAACCCAGGACCCTTCAGTCCGCAAGCCGAGG